CAGGTATTGGAACCTGCTTTTTCCCTGGCGCAGGGGAACCATATTATCCCCCAAAGAAGCTGCCAAATTCCCCAAAGCATGGGGGAACAAGACTTTCCCTGTAAGCCGCTGCAAACTACCAGTATACTTTCCAGAATCGGCCTCAGGATTTTAACCTGCCAGTTCTGGCTTTCTACAAGGAAATCTTGTTTAAACTTTTGCCATTAAAACTGACTGTTGGTGCACACTAAATTACCATGCAATTGCTTTTTAACCAGGTGCCAATACTCAGAATCACAATTAGAAACACAGTAACTTCAAACGCATTTGGTAGTCACTTGGTGTGTATATTGAATGGAGGATAGACAATTATGCCATCACTAGTGATTTCTTTTCATTATCCACTTACACCATCAACCTTATATTAACCCCAAAGTGATGCCTTAAATTAAAAAAACAGAGGGATCTTGCATTGARCTCACCAGCCCTGGGGGCCTAGAGGTCTCATGGGTTTGTATTCTCTGTGTGTGCTGGAATCCCCTCATGATCCCAGGATCCATGGAGCAATCAACAGTATCCCATCACTTCGTGGTTGCAAAAATTGTCACCAATATTCAGGAGGAAAATAAAACCTCTATTGGATCTAATTGGATGCTAATTAGGTCCTCACTCCTTGATTCCCTTATCATTCTTCTCCCAGTCAGGTGTCCCCAGCCCTGGCAGAGGGCAGCATCTTGGGCAGATGTTTGTTGATGGCTACTGATGTTCTGTTGATGGTCCTTTTTGGGTGTTTTCTGGACTACTCCCATTCTGTTGGGATGTGAAACTCATCTCTGTTGTGTGGTGCAACATCCCCTAAAAATAACCCTTAAAATTCCTTCCCCAAGGCAAAGGCAAACCAAGCCTAATTAGAAGAAAAACTTTATATTATTTCCACCATAGTGGGCCAAATTCTTACTTTTCTTCCATAGGAACCTACCAACAGATGAGATGAAACTGTTTGAGAACCAATGGAACTTTTAAATTGCCACCGTAATTGCTTGCACTGTCAGTTTGTTAATGTTTGTAATTTGTTTGTGTTTGCATTGCAAGTGACTTGCTGGGAAATCAGATATTATTATTCAAAGCATTTTATGTGTTCTTAAGTTTGATTTCTGTTGCCAAGCGTATTTTATCTTTTTACAGAAAAAATAGTATGACAAAAAGTGAATGTGTATATAATTTCAACTGATTTTATCTTGGAAGTTGGTACAAGAATTTATACATATGAAATCATACAATTATGTGTTGGCCTTCCCACTTCCACCTTGGAAGACTTTTGAATCATTATAATTTGGCAATTTTTTTTTAAGAATTATTAATTAGTGAACTAAAGAATCCTAACAGAATAATGTCACATGGAAAATAGTATTCCCCCTTCCTAAATCAGAAAGAATAACCATGAGCTCCAAATAGAATATAAATAAAATACAAGAAAACCTTCTACCAACTGGTAAGTACATCCTTGATGTACTGTTAAATTATCTATGTCCTAGAAGGGCATTTTAATGTTACCTCACTTCTTTTAATTATGCTAATCAATGTGGTAACCCTAACACACTCTACACCAAGCATGCTTCTTAGTTCTGGGTGCAGTGTGATAAGGGCAATCTACTCATTAAATGCAAAAGAAAAAAGAAGTTTCCTACACTAATACAACTAAATTTAAAAGACAATTTCTTCTTTTTTCTTCCTATTTTTCAATCCCACCAATAAAGCTATGGTTTTTGTTTTGTGTCAAAATTAAATTACAACAGTGCTATAATCTATTCCCTGAAAAGTAGAACATAGCCCTGATGTAAAATTGTGTTTGTATGAAAATCTTCTGAATTATTTTTTTTATTTTATTTTATGAAAAACTTTATAAAACTATATTTTGTGAATTTGATATAAGTTAATTTCTTTAGAAGACTTACCCAGCRGAACAGAAATGCTACCTATGAAATTCTTCCAATTATGTGGATGTAGCCAAGAGAAAAACCTATTTTATAGCTTTTGAAGTATGTAGACACACATCTTCAACAAAGTTATTCACATTTGTTCTGGGCTGCAATTATATTGCAGGAGCTGAAGATCCCCTGGAAGCTCGACCAATTGACACATGGTTAATCCTGGGGATATCGCCCCACTAGAATTTAAAAATTAAAATGACTGTGAAACTCTATGACTTAATTTTAAAACATACTAAGTCAGCATCCAAGAAATACAGTATTGGAGAATCCCTCACACCCACTACCTAATAAGGAAAACTGATCTTTGGGTTCAAAGGGTGGGAGGCACTTACTAATAAGCATTGGATTAACGAGTGCAATTGAATTTACATTTTTGATAATTGGAATAACTGTTTTATTACTGACATTATTACTCCTGTCTTTTCTCTTACTCACCAACTCTGTACACTGTGGGCAGCCCATAAACTGAAGAAAATCAGAAGAAAAATCATTACAATGTTTAAGTCACGGGGTGGATTGTTGGAGGCTGAAATGTTATAGTTTATGACTTAAACATTTTCATGAAGGACTTTTGCCTATTACAGTAAAAATGTGTTACAGAAGCTGCAGAGAAAACCACTGTGCCCTGAATGGGCCCTGACTGAGTCTCTGGACTGCCCACTGATGGAGATAACAGTGACTCAAAGAAAAGAGTCACAGAGGCAGCATGCTCAACACCTTCGGGGTGGAGACCATCTCCACGGGGCTATCAGCTGCCAGACCAAAGGGTAGGGGAGAAGAGAGGTTTGAAGTGTGGAGTGGAAAAGCCTCTCCTCCACTGTGTAGAGGAGCCCAGCTGAAGACGAGCCTTCATCCCCAGAAAAGCTTATCCATGTGAAGGACAACCGAGGGAGTGTCATGGCCCATCAAAGGCCCCCACAAAAGGATCTGTCTACCCCAGACACTACAAGATGATGCAACAGACACACAGTATTGCAAGGGACAGTGTCAAACTAGCCCTTCCCAAAGGAGGCACGTGGGCATTCCCACCTGGCCCAAAACGCACATCAGTCCACTGGATTCTGTACTCTGGCAGCGGGGGACCCTCACCACCCAGAAGACTGGACAGAGGGGAGCAATGAGATGTCGTTGGGACCCCAAAAGGGTGATGGGTTTCTATCTAACCCCTGCACTCTCTCCCTGTCCCCCCACACACAGCTCTTTTTCTATTTCTTTCTCTCTCTTTCTCTTTGCCTCTTTTACTACTAAATAAAATACATCAAATTTTTGGCACTAACATCTGACCTCATTTGGTTTTAATCATGTATTTTGGGTGTATTTCGAACCTTTCTGGCTTTCTTTGCTCTTCTGTATTTAAACTGGATCGTAACAACATGTATGATGGCTGAGGCATTAATCAGTGCAGACTAAGAGCCATCTGTGGATTAACAACGATGCCAGGGACTTAATTGTGCATAAACCTTCAAAAGATGAAAAGCTGAAAGAATGCTTTATACAAATTAAAATATTTGCTGAAGAGAAGATCTATGAGAAAATAACAGCTCATCCAAATCAGAAGTGTTGTAAATCCCAAGGATGCCAACGCAGCCACAGGAGGACAGTAAGTTCCTAAATGTGGATACATCAAGGACACAGAACAAGTAAAGGATAAAGAGAAAGAAAAGCTGTTTATTCTGTTTCCCTGCACAGAAGAGTTTAATTTTGCAGTACGACAAATTCAGCATTGAGTTTTGAAAGACACTTCCATGAAAATCCAGTAGCCCAGAACAGTGCACCAACAGAGCAGATTGCCTGGTTCAGGATTGTCCAGCCAGCACTGGCAYGTGTGGCACATCTTCCTACTCTTAACTCCAGCCACATCAACCCTACATGGCAACTTACGGTTTTGCTGGCAATGTAGGGCTTTGCAGTGCCACCCGGCAGTGAGGGGAGAGATAAAATCTTGTAGGGTTCCTTGGCAAAATGATGATGGCAGTAATTGGTAATTAGTAATAGTTACAATTAAAGCTTCATTTTTAGCAGGGTGCTATGATTAGTGTTGCACAGAATTTATTATTAGAATGACACAGGATTTCAACATGTGGAATGAGTGCAGTACAGTCTATAAGTAGCATAATACAGAATTTATAGTACAATTTGACTTATGGTTTCTAATCACTTGGATCCTCAGCAGATAGGATCAAATCTTAATTCATGGTTTGTTATATCAGTACACAATCATAATCTAGAATCAAAAATCATATAAAAATATAAGTTACTCCCTTAATCCTTGGAGGGTGCAGAGGACGGGGGTTGTCTCTGGCCAGCAGCAGTTGCAGTCCCAAGTTCCCCACTTARGACTCATAACTCCTTGATTTGACAGTCAGTGCACAGGATGCTGTTACGCTTCCTTCTTCTGTGGAGGGGTCACCACCACTGCCTGGGGGGCCACATGCCTGGGACCTTCCAGCCTGGCAAGGAAGGAAGTAATGGAGCTGGCGCCAAGGAGGCTTGGGTCGATAGGAAAGGGAAGAACAAATCTTGTTTGGTTTGTCCACTTGCTTCACGGGACCTTCAGGGTCTGATAATGAGGAAAAGGAATAAATAAACCTGCTCAGCCTCATAGAATGGCTGCTTGCCTTGTAGAGTGATATTAGTTACACTCATCCCACATGCAGGGGCTGGAAGCACGGATGTACCAGTAACGTGTGCCTCTGCAGGACACTGGAGAAGTATCTCCTCTTACATCTGTGCAAACAAATTACTTTCGCATCCACAAAATTGGTTCTGCTGCTTTACTAAATAGCCTAAAAGACCACTTTGTATATATGCACATTTATTCTGATCTTGTGCTGGTGATGCCTTTATTGATGCCCAGTGTAAATGGCATCAGTGAGGAATAATCTGGCTCATTGAACAGTTTTGAGTTTGACCTCTTTTCTCATACAGTTTTTATACATTGTGTATTTTGTAATCACATGCTACTTATGGAATTAATGTGTTCACATTTTCTAAGCACTTGCTGGAAATAAATCCTCTGACTTCTTTCAGCAAGTTTATTTCGGATCGAGAAAGCAGAAGAAGTCTCACGAACAGCCACCTGGAGAAGAAGAAATGTGATGAATATGTAAGTCTCTCTAACTATTCTCTTCCCTGTTAAAATGAATTTCTTGTTGTGCATTTGAAAGGCCTTTAGACGTTGTCTTCAAAAATGCTGGGCACACACAACTATAACTGAATTCAGTTTCCAGTAGGAACTGCCTGGGATCAGTACTTAAATAAAACCCCAAAACAAAACCTCCAAGCATATTGGTTGGGTTGARACAATGGAATCCCTCTAGCCTGTGTTGGGCAGGAAGTTGTGGTGGTTCCTTATGGCTTTACCATATATAACTTACATGCCTGGGATGTTTCTCAGGTGCAGTGAAAGATGGGCTTTAAAAGTGAAAATGCAGTATGAGCTGTGTGCTGCCTTTACCATTGACGTCAGTTCACAAAATCTGTCGGGCAGTGTAGCTGTGATAGAGTTCAGCAACGCTTTCTCCTCCTTCAAACCAATTTTTATTAAGTCATTTCCATAGCAGTAGTTACATCTGTTATTCACAAAGCATGGGGTTTGAAGCAGAGGTGCATTTCCCTGCTCTGTTCCAAGCTGTTGCTGACACATCTGTCTTTACTTCTCCAGATCCCAGGAACTACTTCACTGGGAATGTCCGTCTTCAACCTTAGCAATGCAATTATGGGCAGTGGGATTTTGGGTCTTGCCTTTGCCTTGGCCAACACAGGAATTCTCCTTTTTCTGTAAGTATTCATGTGATGAGTGGCTGATCTCCATGGAATTTCACTGTGTTTAAAGAATGTGTGCACTGCCAGCAAGTAGAGGGATTTATAGTCCATCTGTAATCAAGTACAGCGTTCAAGCCTAAAAATATTAGCTGCAAATTTCAGACTTGGTTTTTCAGTCAAATGTTTTTGAGGAAAAAGCCACTACTTGTAGTGCTAGAGAAAACTGAGTCCATGTTATTTACTAGAGACCTAGACAGTGATTTTTCCTGTGCTCCGCAAGCTACATAGACATCAAAAATATTCAGTAATAGTTGCAGTGGGCTAGTACCTAGTTCTTACTTGTATCACAGAATCTCCAGAGCTTTCTTCAAAGCATGGTGCAATAAAAACTTTTTTAGACCAAGAATATTTATATTCCTTTATATGTTACATATAATATTTCCATCTCACTCCCACGGTTTCTTCAGTTTCTTATGAGAGAGTCCTTGAAAGCCAACATAAATATAGCCAAGATTTTAGTATAGAAAAGAGCTGAGGTAGACTACTTAACTCCAGAAAAAAAAAGAAAAAGGCTTTTTATAAAGGAGAATTTAATAGTTTAAAAATGAAACAATGCCATTGAATGACTAAGACACAGTGTTATTCTGGATCTCAGTGTGAGACGTTTCATTGTGAAAAGTGATTGTTAAGAAATCAGTTGGGAATTGTGTGCGGATTTCAATGATAAATGTTCATTGAGGGGAGAAATACAATAATTTACAATATTTGACAACTATTCAACATAGTTATTGAGTTTACAGATTGCTCTAAAGAGATGACATTTCTTGAATGTCGAATCTAGAAATACAGAACTTTTGTAATTTCTTAGTATTTTGGGAAATACATAATATGAGCCCTGTATAAAGCAGAATAGATGGCCAAAGTGGTACATATAGCCATCTGCTCTGGGGTTTTGTGCCAGGATAGCTGGATCCATGCTGCTAGCTCACAGTGTGCTGTAATTGGGTAAAAGCTAGGAATAATCCAAGGAACTAATCCATTTACTCTAAGAACACAGAATGTCTCAGAATTGTGTTGTCTTTAAGATAGGCTGAAAAGTGTTTGAACTGTAATTTACATCTTTTGTTAGCAGAGTGAGTTTATTTTATTTTTGCTGGTTTTTTTACCTAGTGCTCTAACCTGTATGTAATATTTCACCCATGCCCCACCTCTGGTGGTTGCAACTGTAAGGAGAGAAAGAAAAGTTACTTCTTCTCAGCCTTGTCACCTCTTCTATGATAATAGGGTCTCAGCCAAGGAGCAGCCTCAGTTTCTCCTTACTGCTGTAGTTTTGTATAATCCTGTTCTCTTCTGATTCTTTCAGCAGTTTTTTTTCATGAGAGTTAAGTGAAATGCCTTTGTACTGAAGAATGTAAAAATAGAGTTTCTTTTAAGTGAAGTAGATCAGACAGCAGAGAAACTTCTAGCAATGTGTGTTGGTGATTGAGCTCGACGGAGTAGCGAGTGTATAGATCTGTATCAATACATTATACAAAAAACTGCCAAACATGAATGTAGAGATTTTATACAGTAAATGACAGCATTGTTCTCTGTAGAATTCATTGTGTGTATTTAAAACCGGGTAATAGTTTCTGTCAGCTTTATGATGCCATTAAATCTGTTGGCCTTGAGAAAGAGCAGCCAGCTGAGATCCAGGGGAGTCAGTTAGCAGGACCTAAGTGAGCAGGTTAGCAGAACTGCTCTCTTTGAAGCCTGGAGATATGGGATCCTAACATGGTGTCCGTAGTTATGCTTGGAAGTTGAACTGCTTTAAATGTTCTGTTCTCGTGCAATAATCTCAGCATTAAACCTAGTCCATTAGTGTTTGATTTTTTCTTACACTTAATTCAGTAACTTTTTCCCATAAATTGATAGTTCTGCTGGCACTGTCACAGGTGGATCATTTCTGCTTTGCAGGTGATTTGAGTCCTAACAATACTTTACTGCTTTTTGCACGAGGCAGAACTTAAATTCACTTCTTTTGAGTAGCACAGTTCTGGGAAGTTTCTAGGTTGCTTTATCCAGTATTAGCATGTACCATCCCTGAAAATTAAAAAGCAGATGCAGAAAAATTAAGGGAGTACTTTCAGCATTAACAAAGCAGACCCAGCCTGATTTCCACTCCCACAGCTTCTGGGCTCCTGCAGTGTGAAGTCTGCACTGCCATGAACATCTGRATCAATTCAGATCCAATATCCTAGGCATAAGATGTGCAAAATAAACATGATAATGTGACGTGCTTAACAGTGCCATAACAAATATAATGATATTTTCTGGGCAAAATTACTGAGGTAGGAACTCAGAGGAACTTAATCCCAGTGTTATTGATAACTACAGCCTAAACCAAAAGAGAGCATTATTTCCTGTATGCAAAAGCAGAGAAAACTTCACTACAGAAAGATAACACAAAAAGTTTAGGAAGTTGGAGATGAGCTGGGGTGGCGGAGTAGTTGTTGCTGCCTGTGGTTTCATCCTGGAGAGCCAGGATCAAAGTGATGGATCATGTTGCAGAGAAATGTGGGCTGGCCAAGCACAAGGTGCTTTGAACCTGCATTTAGCCCAGCAGTGCACGTGATCTGAAAAACCTTGCCAAAGCAGAAAGGCTTGTTAGATCAGCAATAGTATGAGAGTTCAGCTGATGTTTCACACTGCAGCTGCTTCTGCTGGGTGTRTCTGGTAGGGGTCACGAAGCCTCATTTAACTCCTGCAGACTTTTAGGGCAAGGCTGTCAGTCCAGCCCATGGGGAGGCTGTATGAGAGTCTATGCTGTTTCATCATCTGCACCCAATACCTTTTGAGGAACTGCTCAGTGAAATAATTCTTGTGACTGCACAAGACTCACAGGTCTTCTGGCCCCAGTGCTTGGGACTTCACAGAGGGCTGGGGACAGCACAAATTTCAGCTTACCTGGTAATTGGCATCTGGGAGAAGACAGCAGTGGCACTTTGTTCTTCCCAAAACTGTGTCAGTCCCCTGGCCTAAACTGTTTATTGTTTTGGGGGAAGGTGACTTTTGCATCTGTTGTTTGCTTCCATAGCTATCAGCACTTCTTTGAAAACAGGCAAAATAAAAAGTAGAGGAGTGCTTTTGAGGCTGCAGTGCAAAATGCCCAGCTTCTGTTTTGAATTTGTGCAGAGCGAGTGGCATGGTCATTTTCATTCCTTTCCAAGGGGTGGTTCTGGCACAAATATTCCTGTCTGTACCACAGTCCGAGCACAAACAAGTTTTTCATACAGTGCTAATGAAAATGCCAAGTGTCTGTAGGAACCCTATGGGGAGCTAAGGACAACAGATCAGATAAATACCTGGCTTCTTGGGAGTGTTATTTTTACCACTGCAAAGGCTCCATGAGCTCAGTGCCTGAAAAACGGGAGCTTTTAACATTAAGACAGGCTGGATGCTGGCATGCAGAGCTGTCGCCATTTGGGGCTGGGAGTGAGTCAGCCCCAGCAGCCGAGCACTGGGGCTCAGCGCCGTGTCTGTAGGCAGACGGGGCGGAACAGCTCGGCAGGGAATGCAGGCAGGAGCAGGGCTTAGCAAATCCAGAAAAAATGGAGCAGAATGACCTCAGCCAGTACACTCTTCCTTCCTTTCTCCACCTTCTCAAGAAGAAACACCCTTAGGGCTGTACAAAGAGTGTGTTGTTATAGTCAGCCATCATTCTTTGCTGGCAAAAAGACAGTTCCTCCTATCACCTCTTTATGTTTCTCCCTGCTCCTCTGGCCCCAGGAAACTAGTCAGTCATTATTTCGCTCTAAAGTATTTCCAGTCTAAACTAATAAAAAAGTGGGGGGAGGAGGCTTCTCATTCTGATCTTTCTATGTATTCCTATGAAAAAATATGTTGCTGCCTATCTATGGCAGCAGTTTGTTTTTTCTTAAATTTCAGCCTTGTTTTTCTTGGTGTCCAGAGGGTAGTTGTCATAATAAAGGGAGAAATTGCCAACAGATTGTCTGAATGCTCTTCACACACATAATGAAAACATCATCAGGTCTTTGTATGTCAGAGTGTTGGAGAGGAAGGCACACATGGTGCTTGGATTAAAGACATTGAGTAATGAGAAAATGTGCTTTTGTGCACTTGGCCCCCAGCACTGACTAGTTATCATCTGTGCCAGCAAGTTCCCTACACAAACAGTTTGGTCATTACTTCCTGCAATTCTTCTATGTGAAGTTAAATTATGGATCATGTCAGTCCAGGACTGGCATCAGTAAGGGAACATGAATCCCTGCCTGGACAAGGAACAAGCCTTTGGTTCCATCATTTATTCCCAAGGGAAGCCACTCAAGCTCTAACTCCCTATATCTTCCCCCTCCTTGGGCACTGTGAGGCACAGAGAAAGCATTTGGGCACCACTTTGAAATGTGTCCTTGGAAAAGATGCTTCCATTTGGCATGGAAGTCCTTAAATACAGAACTTTCCTCCAAATTTTCATTCTGCATCCAGAAAAAAAAAGCTTTAGAATGGATGTTGAGTGACATATCTGGCTTTTCTGTGCTCTGATAAATCTTCATTCCTGATAAGACATCTTTATTCTTTCTGCTTTCAATATGGAAAGGTGTAACTCACTGACAGGCTGTGCTCTGCAGCTCTGCTAAGTTTTATTTGATTGTATCCCTCTATGTGCAGGGTTTTCTACCTCCATGGTGGAACTGCAAACACAATCAATGTGAATCACATGTATTTTAGAGGTTTTTGCATTGTCAGAAGAATAAAAAAAAATCTCAGAGTCAGTGGGAATATGACCTGACATGATCTTGTATGGTAAGCTTTATTTTCTATTCTTTTTTAGGCTGCTTTTGGTTTCGGTCACGCTGCTGTCTATTTATTCAATACATCTGCTGTTGGTGTGTTCAAAGGAAACAGGTAATTTAAGATGTTACATCATTCAGTAGAATGTAAAAACCAAGAGGTGACAAGTGTTCAAGTGAGGCCAGGTGCTTTGTGTAAGGTGAGTTTCTATCACTTTACTGACACAATAGGAAGGCCTGACACAACCCAGAATTAACAAGAATTTATGGCATGGCAATGGAGAACGACATCATTGTAAAGAGAAAAACTTATGACAAAGGATGTATTCTGCTGCCTGGAAATGTTATCTTCAGTGAGCTAGAAGGAACAGCTCATATAGTTTCTTTGCATTACAAAGCAAATTGCAAATGAAATATAATGACTCTTTGCCTGTGGTGAAGCTTACCTGGAAATACAGTTTGTTCTTAGTGGTTAGTGTAAAACTCCTGATAACTTTCGTGGTAGAGTTTTCTTAGAATTAAGTAAAAGGGAACAGTTCCTTCACCGAGAGAAGTCTAACTGTAACACAGATACACTGTCTAAACACAGATATTAGAAGTTCCCTACAGCATTATGTCAAATGACACTGTGCTGTGAAGTCCGAGAGTTTCTTCCCTTGTTAACAATGACTGAAGCCATATTGTTAAAGTAATGTGTGCACAAGAATACTGTAATAATTAAATTTGAAATTTGGAAACGTGATTACTSTTGTAGTATGTGTAATGTCAGCAACAGCCTATTTAAACCAGGTACTTGTGCCTCAATGTGGATACATTTGTGYCCCATTAGTTCCCAAAATCCAAACTTTATTTTCTTTGTTGCTGGAGCATTTAAGCTCAAACTTATTTTTTATACAAACTTGAAAGGGAAATGTCAGCTGTAAGGTAATATAGAAAAACCCAGATGCATTTAAAAAATCATCTGCCCAATGTAACATCTGGAGTGTTTCTCTTCCTGTTCCTATGTATCTCACCATTTTCACAATGCCCGATCTTTTTCTCAGCCTACATCACAGCCTAGTTAGAAAACACTCAACAGAAACACAAACCAGTTAATAGAGGAATTTCACAAGCTTGATAGATATTTGAAAATAAATTTTAGTTATATTTTACACTTTTCCCTGCTTTTACCAAAAATGTATGACACTGAGAATTCACAAGTTAAGTCCTAAATTAGATCCTGTAAACCAGTGGCTGTCCTCATTTGGATCATTCAGTCAAGGCAAACAGAACTGCAGAATTCCTGCAGTTGTTAGGCAGTAGTTGTTACTATGACAGTAGTAGTGTCCAGGCTRCCAGTGCTTACTTGTGGATCCTGCTGTGCCACATTTTTTCTGGAGAGGAGCCTTTCTATTTTACTCTCATTGCAGGTGCAAAACTTAATGKGCCAGGATGAGGATATTTAACATGAACTTAACATGTTACTTGGGGGATACACAGACTGATTAAAAGGGTGTAATATTCTCAATAAGAACTACCATTTCAGAAGTGACTGGTAGCCCACAATAACATTTATAGAAGTCAAGAAAACATTCCTACATAGTTTTCAGCCCTAGAGATTACAAGAGAGCTCCCTATTTATTTGCAAAGGGCAGGTTTGGCTGCACCGACAGGTGCATGGCTGACAACAAATTGTAAGTGTTTCATCTCAACAGCTTTCAGTGGTGTGTTTGTTCCCTTTCTCCTCTTCTTCTCATGCAGGCTGTATGGTGTATGAAAAGCTTGGTGAGCAGATCTTCGGTACCCCAGGGAAAATGATTGTCTTTGGATCTACATCTCTTCAGAATGTTGGAGGTAAGAAATATCTCAATAATTTTACAGCTGCAAACAAGTCAGGTTCCTTCTCTCCATGACATCCGGAGATCTTCATGCTCCTCAATATAGTTGTGGCTTTGCATGCAGCCCTTTAAAAATACTGCATTACTGAGTGATCAGTAATTCACAGTCGTGGTTTGGAGTCTTCTCTCATCAGACACTGATGTGGGAAAAGATTCAGGATGCTTCTCTGTACTTGTTCCATAAAATATTTTACCCATTTTTTAAAATGACCTTCTTCTTCCTCCAGCAATGTTGAGCTATCTCTTCATCGTAAAAAATGAGCTGCCTTCTGCCATAAAGTTTCTRATGGGAAAAGAAGAAACCTTTTCGTAAGTTGAATTAGTTTTGGTACTTAGTCTGTAGAATTTAAGATTGTGTAGTAAAGTTTRAGCCTGTGTTTACAAAAACTCTTCAAGTATGGCATACCCTTTAGGTTTGTCAAAATAGATTTTCACAGGAACATCTTAAGGGGTTAATAAAAGCCAAGACAAATTTGGGAAGGAGAAGAGGAATGAAAGCTTTAGTTGCCCTCTTTGCATATCAGATTTTCATGAAGAATTGTGTTATATACAAAGCTCTTATCATAGAACAATATTTTACAGTTAGGAAACACTTGGAAATATTGGAAGCTATACAAGTTAAAGATATTATGTGTTTCCCTGTGTTCTCTGCCTCTTACATGATTTTGCCCCCAAAACAGTGTCTATAGGGTGAAATTCCTTGATACTAGCAGATGGCAACTGCAGAATATGATACTTATCACTCCTTGGCATTTACCAGCTACTTTAGTAGAGGGGTGGCATTATTTTATAGTGCTAAAAAACCCTCTCACCAGATTATATGCTGTGCAGCAGAACAGGAGAATGTGATAGATTCCATCCCTCTGGCTTTCATACTAAATTGAACCAAGTGATGGAAATAGGTTGTACAGAGCATCACTAATGCTGTCCCTTCTCCTCTTTTTTTCTTTCCAGTAGGATGCAGAGCACTTTGGTAGAGGAGATACAGACTTGGGCTAGCTAGTGCATGCCATCCTGCTGGAGCCTGGTTTGCAAATCCAGTCACGTGCCTGTGTGGCTTGGCAAATGACTCGTGGTGACCCCCAGCCTGTCTGTGCTCTATGGCCCTTTGCATGTTCTTTCATCATGCTGGAAGGGTGGCGTTATCAGTTCTGCTGCTCAGTCCCACACACTGATCTCAGCAGTAGGGTGATATTTTGTCTGGTGACTATGGAAATCTGCCCTCCCAGAGTCAGAGCAGTGCCAGGGGTACTTAATGAGTCTGCAAAGTCAAGGTGTGCTCCCTTCTCTCTCCTTTTGTAGGAGCTTGTAGGGTAAGGAGAGCAAAGATAGTTCTGAAGGAATGGCAGTCAAAGAGGATGACAGAGTGAGGAAAACGAGAGAATGTTCAAGGTGTGCTTATGGTATGTTTTTTAATGTTTTGTACAGGGCATGGTACGTGGATGGGCGGATTCTTGTTGTTGCAGTGACGTTTGGTATAATCCTCCCTTTATGTCTCCTTAAGAACTTAGGTAAGATGAAAATGCCATTATGGGAATCAAAAAAATAAAAAAAAATTTGCTTGTAATTATCATTGTGCCACTGATAGCCAAACTGACAATTCAGCTGTAATAAGGAAAATATGCTCTCATTGTAATCTAAGCATCTTTCCTGATCCAAAAATAATCTGTGTTCTGAGCATTTTGAAAAAAGTAGGCCTAAATTATCAGTTATTAAGCTAAGTATAAACCAGCTTTATCCATACAGTTGTGGAAATTGATTTTTAAAATTATAGTTAAGAGGGTCTTCATTTCATAAGGCAATTCTATTTTACGTGCGGCCTGTAACAACAAGTTCACAAATTGTGAGATTACAAAGAAATGTTACTTTTGTATCAGCATCAAAATTTTCAGTGGTGAGGTTAATTAGAAGTATTGGACTTTGAAGTAAGATATGTACCAAGAATTGCATTTTCAGCTGTGTTTGAATCCACTGAGATGCCAGTAGGTACGCACTGAATTTTTTACAAACCATGTAACAGCATTTGGCACCAAAGTCCATTTGGGATCTTACTTTTGAGACAATAACCCAGACTCAGCTGACATGACTCATATCAGGGAGCCTGGGTCACATTCTGATTGCAATTGCACACTTTCAGGTTTTTTTCAATTATCACAGCCTCTTTTAAAAGTTAAGTTAGTTAAACTGATGTAAAGGTGACCCTGAGAAAGTCAAAACAGGACAGAGCAAGGCTGAGGCCTGCCCAAAAGCTGGGAGATTTGCAAGACTGTTGGAGACTGTCACACCAGCAGGACATGCTTTTGGCCTGCCCAAAAGTGCACAATACATATTAAATGTATAAYACATTTGAACTTTCCACAAGGAAGCAAAAAGAAAGCTAAAAACCAAGATAAGACTAATAAAGTTATTCTGTATTCTTCTTTTTAATTTCTTTCAGGATACCTTGGCTATACCAGTGGATTTTCATTGAGCTGCATGGTATTTTTCCTCGTAGTGGTAAGTTCAGCTTGCTTTCTTTGTTGGCTGAATCACTTAGAATCATAGAATTGATAAGGCTGGAAAAGGCCTTTAACACCATCAGGTCCAGCTGTCTTCGCAGCACCATGTTCCCCATTAAACTATGTCCTCAAGTGAAGTATCCACAGGTTTTTTGAACACTTTCAGGGATGGTGGCTCCACCACRTCCCTGAGCAGTCTTTCCAATGCTTGCAACCCTTTCTGTGGAAAAAAAATTTCTTGTGTCCAGTCTGAACCTCCCCTGGTGCAACTTAAGGTCAGTTCTTCTCATGCTGTCACTTGTTACCTGGGAGAAGAGGCTGAGCCTCATCTGTCTCCTGCCAGGCAGTTGTAGAGAGCAATAAGATCCCTACTGGGCCTCTTTTTCTCCAGGCTAAACACCCCCAGCTTCCTCAGCAGCTCCTCTTACGACCCACTCCAGGCCCCTCACCAGCTCCATTTCCCTTCTCTGGGCTCACTCCAGCACCTCAATGTCCTTCTTGTAGGGAGGAGCCCAGGACTGGACACAGCACTCAAGGGAAGCCTCACCAGTGCTGAGTGCAGAGAAATGATCACTGCCCTGATCCTGCTGGCCACACTATTGGTGATACAGGCCAGGATACCCACAGTTTCACTGATGTTTTAATTTTAATTTGCTTTTTATTGTTATTTTAGCAATTCTGCTCTTATTCTAGGTTATTTACAAGAAGTTTCAAATTCCCTGTGATGGAGCAGAGCTAAATACAACATCATCTATGGTAGCAAATAGCTCAGCACATGAACATTTGTGTAAGCCAAAGTATGTTATCTTTAATTCCAAGGTATGTTTCTTTTTATAATACTTACTTTTGATTCTCATAATATTTGTACCTACACCTCATGTTCTTAATCTGATCAGCACCACAAAGGGCCTGATTCTCCATGGTTCCACTTGTGAAGGCACAGTGGGTCTCCTTGCCCAGTGTTACAGAGATGCCATGGTGGATGTGCTCCTTGCAGTTTTGTCCTGCCCTGGTAGTAGGTGTGTTAAGGCCGTGAGCCTGAGCTACCAGTGGACAACGGCTGCTTTCTTTAGGAGATTTTGCCTTTCCACTGCTGCTTATTATCCATGCTGCAACTGTGCCTTCAGCAGAAGCTGAGTAAGCTATGCCTGCATCTGAAGCCCAGAAATAATCTCTGTCCTTCTGCACACAGACCACTTCTTTGTGACAGGGTGCATTTTTCTGTAGCCATGCGGTGAAATGGATTGTGAAAAGAATATGGTTGAAAGATAATCCAGCAAAAATTTGGTTGCCTTTCAGCTGGATGCTTCCCTCTGTCACCACACAGCTGCAGAAAAAGTTGGTCTGAGAGAATGTGAGAGAGCAGCTATCTCTAACTGTGGGAGCAGGTGGATGTCTCCTGTCAGCTGTGCTGGGATGCAGTGCTCCCAGTGAAACAGCACCTTATCCAGTAGGGCATGGCCCTCAGGGCCTCAGTTGCATTCATAGGGAATGCACATTTATAGCAGAGGTGTGCAATAAGTATTTTTTTTTTTTAATTTTAACCCACCAGCTTCAGTAGAAGAAGCCAATCCAGGCACTTTTCTTTAGTTGGGGGTAACCATCACCCCCCAGATCCTGTGTGAGGGACCAAGAACTAGTTAACTTGGTGTGTGATGGCAGCTGAGGTGTAGGTATATCTCAGAAAGCATTGAAGGGTAGTCTTCCTCTGCAGTGAGTGTCAGCATTTGCCTCAGAGCCAATGGAGGTACCTTGAAAAGATCGATCCATCTGAATTAGGCACGCTGGAGCTGAACTCCAGAGGTTTGCCCTTAGGGCCAACAATTTGCCAGTAATTTTAGCAACCTCAAGGTGTGAAAGGAGAGACAGGACAATTTCAGAGAATAGAAGGATAACCAAGGCTGGCAGCCACCTCTGGAGGTCACCTAGTCCAGCCCCTGTGCTGCAGCAGGGCCACCCAGCATTGTGTCTGGGCAAATTCTGAATATGTCTACAGATGGAGATATCTGGGTGGTGCTGTGGGTGAGGGAGAGGTGGCAAAGGCCTGGGCAAGGAAAGACCTGTGGAGAGCAACCAGCACATTTACTGAATCTGTCAGGCCTGGGATGCACCATGGGATGTCTTCTATGGGAAGGAGATGCCTGTGACCAGTGCAAGCAGATCTTGGAGGGTGGAACAGAACTGCATGTGAAAATGGCCTCATGTTGTCCTTAGGCGAGGATCTGTTTTCTGCTGTGACCTCTGCTCATACCTGTTTCCTCAGGAGAATGGAAGTGCCTGAGCACTGAGATCATTTGTGAAATTTGGCTGAGGACTGAAACCCACTCCAGTTCTTAGTGGAAAAGGGGCTGAGGTCCCACTTGGAAGCCTCTTGTGCTTCCTGGTGACACAATGGTCATTCTCTTTCCCCAAGAAAAAGCATGCTCCCTCCACAGCACTCCTAGTCCTTTTGTTGGCCTGGGAAATTAAGGGATTCAGTCTGGTACCTTGAAATATCCATTTATTTGTACGTTCTGCATTCCTGTTCTCTTTTCTTACAGTCTGGATACGGGCTTCCTCTTCAGGACTTCAGCCTTAGCACCATGGGTGCGCACCCCTCTCCATGCCAAGGCAGGGTAGCGTAGCGGTGACCCGCCATATGTCCCTTTCACGCGTGACACTGTGCTAGTAACGGTGGCAGTAGCTGGGCAGGCAAACCTATCCCAGGGGCAAAGCCAGCACAGAGTGGCCTCTAGCTCTGTGCTCTGTGAGCACAGTCAAGACTGCACTCACGCCACCAACGCGGAGACTTTGTCCTCCTGTTGAGAGCGCACTGTTTTCCACATTTCATGAAATACGTGCCAGTTGACAGGTCTTCTGCCTTCTCAGAAAGGCTCTCAATGTTCAGTTGAAGAGTCCAGCAAGCTGGGAGCTGAGGTAGTTGAACAGGGAACATTTCTTCATACCACTGGGAGGAATACTTGTTAAYTTATTTTCTGAAATTCTCTCTGAACAGACCGTGTACGCTTTGCCCACCATTGCTTTTGCATTTGTGTGCCACCCATCAGTCCTCCCGATTTACAGCGAACTTAAAGAGTAAGCCCTTCCTTTTTTTTTTTCAGAGTTTATTGTTTTGAACCGTTTTACGTGGAAAATGTTAGCACAGAGGTGCTGTGAATCATCATGCCACTCAGAGAGGTGCTTTAGTAACACCCAACAAGCCAACARGCGTGGCTGTCAGCTAGGAAATCTGGCTTCCCAGGCGTGCTGTGCTGCTGGGGTGGAAGCGAGGGAGGTGGAGAATAATGCAATACTTGGGAGTTCCCTGGAAGTACACAGCAGCCTGGGGAGAGCCAAGTTCTGCTGGTTGATATTTGGCATAGGAGAGGTGTGTGTTCCGCTAACAGCGTTTGTTCCACAGCATTTATGCAACTAAAAATCTGTTGCAGTACCAGGAAAATAAAAGTACTTTCAGCCTCACTGATGTTAAAAGACCTTTGTTGGTACTGCTGTCTCAYTGACGCCTCCAAYTGGGAAGGGCTGTGGGGAGCTGGAGACCAGCCCTGCTGTGACATTTCTGGCAGCCCTGGACAGCTACAATGGTTCTGAGCCATAGGAGAGCCCCCGGGGAGAGGTCAGGGTCTGTTACACCCATGACTGCCCTCAGCCCTCAGACACTTCTGGGTGCTTTAAACTTCAGGTGACCTGAGCAGGTTCCCAGCTACCTATTAGGGCATCCTTGTGAGGTTTTAGAAGTCTAAGTTTAGGTACTGGACTGCATACTTCAGAATAAATATCTAAAAATTAAATGTTTACACTTAACCTATTTTACAGGTCTGCATTTTCTACCCATGGGGAGGCAAATTTTTCTGCAGCCATTCAGAACATTTTTGGTTTTTTTTTTTTCTTTCTGCATAATTTCACACTTCATTCATTTTGACCTTTTAATTTAATTAGYAAAGTGTTTCAGGGTCATCCTCTCTCCACACGGCTTCACTGCTTAAGCAGGTACAGACGTGGAGCAGAACCACAAGGCAGACCTACTATTTTTTTACTTAAGCCCCAAGTAGGGTCCTTTTCCTCAGACCTTGTCATCCTTGTGTAGCTGTCAATGAGTTTCTGTTTTAAATGAAAATGCATTCATGAGTCTCTCCAGATTTACTATGCTAATGCAAACACCTAATACATTTTGAGACARTTATTGAAAAATCCAGCCCAACCATTCTTATGTGTTCTTTTCTTGTTCTTTCTCCAGCCGTTCACAGAAAAAAATGCAGTTGGTTTCAAATATCTCATTTTTTGCCATGTTTCTGATGTACTTTATGACTGCCATATTTGGCTATTTGACTTTCTACGGTAAGTATGCAGTTTTTAACTGATCAGAATACAAAGGGGATACATGTAAAATCAATAGTGTATCCCAGCTGGAAAGGAAAGTCCCATCCACTTATATTAAAATACTTTTCCAAATAATTTTCCTAAAGTTCTCATATTGAAGGAATAAATCCTTTCCTCCTTTTCCCCTGYGGATGAGAAGCACAATTGAAAGTACTATTTGCAAAAGGGAGGGAGAGATTTGTTTTACAGAATTTGGGATTAGCTGGGCCCCACTAAGATTTTGTTCCAAGGTCCTCACCTGAATGATGTGTGCATTGGTAATGGCTGAAGCATGCATTTTTGCAAAAATTGAGATAGATTTGAGTGCAGGTCCTAGGAAATTACTTACAAATCAGCCATCACAGCTTTTTCACTTTCTTAGTAACACATTCATCATAGAAGCAACAGACCAAATGTTTTCCCTGTGTCCCTAGAGCTGACCTCCTTAGGTCTCAGTTAAACAAACTGGCAGTGAAGGTGGGGAAGCTTTGAGTGTTGTTCCAACTCAACCACCAAAGGATGATTATATCAGTGTTTGAGACTCCCGCCCAATCTCTTTCCCTGCATATCAATTCAGTTAACAAACAAATTATGTTGTCTTGCTAAAGGATACAATATGTATGTCCTAAAGGCACAATTGTTAAGTAAAGTCAGATAAAATCTGAACGCTGCGCAGGAAGCTAGTCCCATGTTTCAGTATAATGAGAATGTTGAAAAGTAGTGTCTTTTTCTAGGGACCATTAAGGGGTTACAGACAGGTGACAAAGCTGATGTTTGCCTTTTACCTCAGACTCACCCATCAGTCTTCTCCACCCTATTCTAAGTGACCTATTTGYTACAACCTCCTCTTTGATGATAGTGTCCCTTGTGATCCACCAATAGCAAGAGAAAGAAAACAAGTAAATATGAAATATGTCTTTTTTTTTTTTTTTTTCAAAGGTGTACCTATCTCATATTTGCTTTCTCAGACTCTCATTCTGATTATGAGGCCTTGAGTATACATGTGTTGGAGTAACTTGAGGTCATCTGTTCTAATTTTCCCAATAAACCCATAAATAGGCTGCAAGTGACAACAGCATCAGCCAGCTTCTCATCCAGCTGCTCCCATCTAACACATTTTCGTAGAGATGCATCAAATTAGCAGCCCCAGGGAGCAAGTGGGTGTAAATCAGCATGGACCCCTTCGCTTTGGCAGGGAGGAGATTCTGATGTGATTGCCCCAGGGATCTGAGGAGGCAGATCTGTGGCGCTCCTCTCTGGGAATCTCCCACATCCCTCAAGGACGAGGGTCTGGAGTCCATGGAGGAGGTAGGGGCTGCGTCCTTCTGGCCCTCCTGAGGGGGAATGGTGGAGGAATCCCTGGGGTGTCTTGTGTGCCTCTCCCCACGTCAGGCATCCCTGCTCTCCAGCATTGAGAGCCCACAGGTGGAAGCTGCACAGCTCTGCTGGGGCTTCTGCGGTGTCAATGCGGTGACAAGCTGCAAAAAAAGACACTGAGGAAATATGAAATTCCTCCATAAAGTTCCTTCCTTCTTCCCCTTGAGACTGAAAAGACCTTACCTTTCATATGTTCACTTACAGTGTTCTAACCCTCTTCTCTACCCTTACCTGGGTAAGAACAGTATTTTTATTGTGACCATTTCTTCTTTACACCAATAGTACTTGTCTGTTTGCTGTGTTCTCAAAAGTGTTGCAGTGATGACTATATTTACATTGCAGAATTACAGAAAAGAGGTGTTTTTCTTCCCCTAAAAGGTCACAGTGTGGTTGGGCTCTGTGGTGTATCTAGCTGAAAGGAAAACAGACCTTCAACTGTAAGCCTTGCCCTTCACTTCCTACCTGGCTGCAGCCCGTGAGCGGTACAGAAGTTGCAGTCTGTGCTTGCAGGAGCAGAGTAAGCTCTGTGTCGCAGAAGCTGTGCATGTGCCCGGCTTGAAAACCCCACTCCTGATCTGCAGGGAGGTGGGAGAGCATTTTCTTTCTCCTGGTGGGGATTCAAGCACTGCATAGGTGGTTTTGACCTGTGGTCTCTACCCAGAAAGGCGCCCTAGGGGGGAGCGTAGGCATTTTGCCACAGGACAGATSCCTCTGCCTCCAGGAATACATGAGGTTTTACCAAGTGCCAAAGATGGTAAATTAGATGTGACCACTGAGTTCCCCTTAAGAGCTGTTATGTTTTACCACCAGCTTACTAAGATTAGCAGGCAGAAACAAAATGTGGGCCTAAAAGGGGCAGCAGGTGTGTTTTGTGGCATGCTTAACAGCCAGCCCCTTAGGTTATTGCTCCTGGATATTTAAAAATTACAAAGCAAACACATAGGTCCCTCAGCAACTTGGTTTTCCTGCTGGTTAGTACACGCAGACCTGTTCTGCACTATTTATCACAGCTTCAAGGAAACATTTTGGCAGGGGGTTGAATTAAAAAATATTGCCAGCACCTCCCCGTTAATCACCCCCTGTGATTTGTCTTGGCTGCTAGGGCTGCTGGCCAACGTGGGGCTGAGCTGCAGGCTCTGCTGTCAGCCCTCAGAGGAGCTGCTGAGGGATTTGAGTGCAAATGTCAGAGCGTCCCGCTAAGACCTGACCCAAGATAGGCTTTGTTCTCAGTTGAGAACAGGGGCACTGCTTTTTGCTGGAAGTTTATTTGCTSTTTAGACTAATTTAGCTCAAGACCTTGCAGTTTGTATTAAGTTCAGCCATTGCAGTGCATGTGTTTATTTTTACATCATTTGAAACTTTTTTAAAAAAGTCAACCAATTAAGAACCAATTAAAAATAGCTGATTTCACTTTACCTATTTTTGTATATATGTATATATGTAAGCAAGCTTTTGTGTATGTCTCACTGTTGTCTTTTCTACAGTGAAAATTACCTTAGACTTAGGCATGTGCTGTACTGAATTAAGATGAATTCCTAAATTAGGCCTCCAAAGGATTATTCTGGAATAATGGGATCATTGGGATTTTGTTCAAAGCACTGTTTTAACTCAAGAATGTTTCATTCCATACTCTTTTGTTTACAGATAAATCACTTGTTGTTCAAGAAGGCTGTTGTTAAGCAATGAATTTGTGGACTAATTGTCTTTTTGCCAGAACACTTACCTTACTGTCCTTTCYCATAGAGAACGTGCAGTCAGATCTGCTTCACAAATACCAGAGCAAAGATGACATCCTCATCCTGACCGTACGCTTGGCTGTGATTGTGGCGGTGATTCTCACTGTGCCGGTGCTATTTTTCACTGTAAGTAAAAAGATCTGCATGATTTGGAAGTTGGTAACAGGTGTACATAGCACATTTTSTCAAACCAATGTCCAGTGATCTTGAGACCACAATATTGCACCTACAAAAAGAGCTTGAGCTTGGATTAGTCTTTTTTCATGTCAGACTCCCACTAACTTCTGGAGAAGGTAAATAAATAAATCACTTTTTRGTCTTAAACCTGTTTGAAAATGAATCTACAAGAGTCCTCTCTTACTTCACCTCACTTTACTGGAGTAGGCTTAGAGGTGAAGTTCCTTTTTAAGTGCAGAAGGATTCAAAAAGGCATGTCAAAAAGGAGAGGAATATCCTACTGTACATGCATATGTACCTACAGTGCTGAAATAAAAAATAAWTTTTAAGGAGTATTTCAAAGGACATTACAACCCAAAATTTCTGACAGATCTATGCAGCACTTGTCATTTGAAGAACCAGTTAGAATAGAATGGGAAGCTTTGAATTGGTTCATAGACTACTYCTGACAGAGAACGTTTTTTCTCTCCCTACAGGTACGTTCATCATTATTTGAGATGGCCAGRAAAACAAAATTTGACTTATGCCGTCATGTTTTGGTTACTTTTGTTCTTTTGGTTATCATCAACCTGTTAGTCATTTTTATCCCATCCATGAAGGATATTTTTGGAGTTGTAGGTACAGTATCCTGCTTTTGTACTACTAATAAAAACTCGTTGCTAATCAATAACACAAGATTTAGCTGTTGCTGACAGTTAACAAAACTCATTCATTTGAATTTTGCAGGGGTCACTTCTGCCAATATGCTGATTTTCATTCTTCCTTCATCGTTGTATTTAAAAATCACACAGCAGGATGGATCAAAGTTGACTCAGAGGATTTGGGTATGCATTCCATTCCCATCAGTGCAACACTTTAATCTTGTCATTCTCTGTACTGTGCTAGRTGCAAAGCAGACCTAATCTGAGCATACGTGTGAGCTCCTTTATATCACATCCCCTCTGTGCTTCAGTCAGCTGGCAGCTGTGCTCGCCCCTCTCCTTTGCTTACCCTGGGGGTCCCCTGGTGGATGTGCCATACCATTCATGGCATCTTGTGTTTTGGGGGGGCCCTTCTCTGCAGAGTGAGGGACTCCCTTGGCTGGCAAGCATCAATAGCTGTCAGCAGGATGCAGGAACTCCTCCAGCCCCCCTCAGCAAGCATTTCAGCCTAGCAAGCACTCTCTGTTTCTGTGTGTTGATCCAGAAAGCTTGCAAAGTGCTCCATTTGCAGTATTCCTCATGGTTTTAATGGACCTCAGTCAGACTTAGGGTGGTTCCACCAGAAGCWGCCAGCTGAAATGTTATGTTAGCCTTTTGACATGCATGAGCAGATGGGAATGAGCCTTGGAAAGATTTCCTGTGAGCCCCAGAGATAGCTTCAGCTGAAAAGATGCAACACTCCTGTGTATTCCCAGACTARCAGGGCATGCTCTGGAATCATTGTAAGGTCAGACCTTTCTTCCTTGAGCAGACAGGTAGAAAACATGTTTAACTTTGGCTGCATCCACAGATCCCATGAYGAAAGGGCTGAACTTTGATGAACACATATGCAGTGGGAAGAATATACTGATTTCTGTGAGGCTTTGGAAAGAGCAGAGCTGATCAGTCCTAAAAACAGACTCACTTAATCCTCTTTAGGGATGATCAGTGTTTAAGAAGTGAATTGGAAGGAGGGAAAAAACTAGTTTGGTGTTCAGCAAGTAATTATTAATGACACTAATCTGTTTAATTGTCTATGGGTCTTGTCTTTACCAGAAGTGCTAGCTCATTTTAGCTGATAAACTTTGATGTATCACCTTGTAAATCTCCTTAAGAGAAGTTAACATACTTGAATTAATTATTTTTTCCTTTTATTAATTTTTGCTCCTGTTTTTGTTTCAGGCTTCTCTTTTCTTGGCACTGGGGGTATTGTTTTCCCTAGTGAGCATTCCTTTGGTCATCTATGACTGGGTACAATCGGGAGGCAGTGCTGAAGGCCAYTGAACTTCACCTTCTTCTCAAAAGACAACACCCCTGTTTGCTACACACCAAAATCGCAACCATCCGTTCTGTTGTCTTTTCCACCTTTTGTGAGTTTACTCAAATCAAATCAAAATAATGATTATCCAGTACTGAAAATACTGTTATGGGTGTAATTTTCTTGCAGAAAACAGACCTATTCTTCCAACAGGCATGATCAGCTAAAAGTCTGTGTTAATTATCCATGAGACTATATAAAGCATTGCTCATAGAAATTCATCACAAKTAGTTTTCCCTCTTCCACCCATAAATTGCATTGTTCCATTATTATCCTTAGCCCTTCAGCCACAAGCTCTGCTCCTTTAGTGCAGCAGCGCCTGTCAATTCCAACTGGAGTGTTGTCCRTTCACATCCTTCCCCCTCTTTTAGCCAAAACTCTGCTCTCTAATTGTATGCATCTGGTTTGTTGGTTTGTTTGTTTGTTCTGTTGCTGTTTCAGGCAGCATTTGCCTCACTGGATTAAGTGTAGCATTACTTGCATGAAATCCAAGGCATGAAAAGCACCACGAGAGCATAACTGAGTGCTGTGTAAGCAAAGGTCCAAAATGTGGTGCTTCTGTCTGATGTTTTGGAGCCGGCCCCAGGGCTTGGCCCATTCATGGCTTTGGGGGACAGACTGTGTGTGTCTRTGTGTGTCTTTGTGATGTGGTGCAGGGAGCAGGAGAAGGACAGCCACCACCACCAGCCAGCATTCCCCTGGCACACTTGAGCTGGAGGCTGACCAGAACTTGACCCCAAACCATGAGTACTTGAGCCTGAAGAGAAGCAGACATTTGGAGATTTCCATAGGAAGTCTGCATTTGCTGCATTCAACTCTTTAGTAGTGAGCCATTGCTCTCAGAAGAAAAATACCAAGCTCCAGTTTTATCAAAACCTAAGCATTTAATCATACCCCATGTCTTTCCATACTTTGTAGAGTATGGCTCCTCTCTTGTGTCTTACCCTCCTTCCACTGAAGTCAATGGGGTCTTTGGCAGCAGTGGGAGCAGGATTTGACTCACTCTACAAAACTACAGGATTTCTAATGGAAATTGAAATCTGTAACATTTCTTTAAGTGAACAGAGATACTTTTTCTATTTAGAACGTTTCATTTACATTTTTCATTGATTCTCCACAAGAATTAAAACATATTAAATTATTACTAGCAGAAACACAGTTGTCCACAGAATATGTATTTGCCTAATGCCTTATAGCTGGTGTAGAGAACTACTTGTAGAGACTCAAATGTTAAGCAGGTGATCATTCACCATCCTGAGCAGATATCTTCTATTAGTGCACTGCCAGCAGTATAAGTGTATTCACTTTGTGTCATTCACCATGTGAGCTAAGAAGTGTCCCAGAATATGAACGTGGCTCCCACTGGAAGAACTGATGGTTAAAGGGATCCCTGCTTCATACCTAAGGAGCCACACCTGCAGTGACTTTCTTGTTCCAAGTAGCTGGTTCACTGACTTTGTAACTGTGGAAGCAGGCTGTCATCAGCTGTGAGGAACCTGTCATTGCAATTTGCTCTTTTTAAGGTTAGGGATAGAGTATTTGGGATACTGCAATTTTTGTCCGCAGTTAAATCGCCTCAGTTACCATTGCCTTGTCCTACATGGCTTGAAGTCACTGAGAGCTAAGACCACAGAATACATCTAAGGACCCTGAAAGTTGGTTTCTAAAGGTAACATCCAGAGAGGTTAGTTTGGGGCCTTCCTATGAGTTTGGGCATTGAGATGCAGATTGTTCATGCTGCAGAAACTAAGCCTACTAAGCCCAGACTTCCATAACTGTACCTTTGCGTTGGCAGTGAGGTACTTGCCTCTGATGATACTCCATTGTGATCCAGAAATAAGGCAGAGTGGATTCCACAGGCTGCCCAAGTTCTTGGAGTAGCCCAGCAGCAAGAACAAAACTGGAAGCTTTCTCCCTCCAGGCAAAGTGACCTGCTAGACTRCAGTGCAGGGTTCCTTTTTTCTGCCTTCCTTCGGCCCCCTGAGACCTTCCCTCGCAGGCTCCCAGGAAGGTCTCTGGTGCATCATCCATTCTCCCAAGCACCCCTTAGCCCAGCCTTTAACATAAACCGCTGAGCTACCTGGGACTCCTGAGCTAAGTTCTCTTGTGCTTTCCTGTGGCTCAGAGCCTTGCCTGAGATGGTGCAGGTCACCAGTTCTCTCTGTGCTGTCTGCTTATGGGACTGATCCCTGCCCTTATCCACAGAGAAATCCATACCATAGCCTACAAGACTAAGTGTTAGGCAAGCTCTGGGGAGAAAAGTCTATGTTTTGTTCCCATCTCTTGCACCACACTTCAGGCTTCTTCTCACCTTGAGATGTAAATTTGTGGTTTTCATTTCGCAGGCACCCAACCCTCAGTTRTCACTGCAGCAGGAGCCCAGCATGTCACTGCACTCTCTGACAGCTTGCTGAATTTGCATTTCAGGTTTTGAGGTGCCTTATAATCTCTCTGGATCTTATCCTAAAAAACCTAACTCAGACCTGAGAATGCTGTACAGTGTTATCCTTAAGATGCTACCGGGCTCTCCTGCTTTCCTTCCCCTTTATCTTTCTTCTACTGCTGATTAATGAGCAGCACAGCTCTGTGCGTTGTGGGGTTGTGAGAGATGAGATCCTGGGAATGGCTTTCAAGTATCTAGGTATTAGCTAGAGATCTGATCTGCTGCACAGGGCTCCAGCAAGGCCACATCTGTGACATCTCCCTCCTGCTTCCTCCCCCCCCGCCACCCAGCAAATAGTCTGTAGTCTGCTGTTTGAAATACCAACCACTGAGTTTTGGCACCCAACTTCCTTCGACTTGAAGGCCTGTTGGGTCACTGATTGTTCCTTGCATCATCCTAAATCTCCTCCCATCACTATTCCTCTCTCTCCTCTTTGCTATTCTGCCTTCTCCTTTTCCCCAGTTTATTTGTATAGTGGAGTTTTACTGAATTAATAGGGAGAATGAGCTGAGCGTGCATAGAGTGAAATTATCCAAGGTACTGGACCACCAAAGCATGTCTTATATAATGAAAAATAGATACCCAAAATACTAAGTCTTTAAACAGACTTTTTTCTCAGTCTCTTGAGGGAAAAAAAAAGGAATTTTTGCTTAGACTGATTTACTGGCATCATATTTATAGATATTTATGGAAAGGAATCATGTGTTTATTGATGTCTGTGGTAATGAACGTGAAATAACGTGCTTTTTGTTTTCTCATCAGGTTTATACATTCTTAACAGAATGCAATAGACCCTGCTGTAACTGTCAACATCAGTGATGGATGACAATATTTGTATGAGGCTATCTGTAAAATGTACTGCTGTTATTCAGTTCATTTGGAATAGTGAACGTGTAGCCAGGATTGTACAAGTCCCACATTTTAGTTAGGATTTTAAGAGCACAGTGAAATGCTGTAGGAGTTTCTCTGTTGTAAAATTAATAGGAACCCAGAGTACCATATCTACTTAGTCAGTGATAGCATGCTTTCTTTTCATAGAGAGTTTATCACTATTGTGAGCACTGCAAATGTCATAGGTTGGATGCAAAATTGCTCCTACTAACTGCAACAAAAAAACTTTTAAATTCTTATTTGTGTAATAGCAACAATTGAGTGGTGAAGGACAAGGAAGGACTAATTAGAAGCAGGGACTACTAATAAGATTGTATGAGTTAATCCTGCACTTAAAAGACAGCCTTGCTGCCTCTCCTAGTCCACAGCACATTGCAAAGAAAATAGTTATGGGCTTAAAGCAGCCGTAATACAGCTGCCCTTCTTTCTCCAATCACAGACATGCCCAGTTAGTAAAACACCGTAAATTGTTGTTTGGRAACAGTATCTCTGGGGCAGTGACCTCTCTGGGTGATGTTTGCTTCTGACCAGAGGGCCAGTGCCAAATCTGTGCACCAGCACAGGCCTTTTGTGAGCTGACACGGACCAAGTGGTGCACAACAGCTGGTCTCATCCTGCGAGGTCAGGGATGGGGATGCTTATCTGCTCTGAGGGCTGCTCTTCTGAACCAGATACGAACCCAAAGCCTGTGCTCCACTTGTAATAGGTCACACGTGCAGTGTGGGTTGGATGATATGTGGGTTTTTGTCTGTACATCTGCCTTACAATGCATAAGCGCAACACAGCTCTCTGATATTGAGTATTAAACAGTAACAATGGTACGTCTAGCTGATCTTTAAATGAACATATTTCTTTGCTTGAACCTTACATTAAGGCTAAAGAGCACCTTGGTCAAAACAAAACTTTTCRTGTGGTGGTGTCCCACCTCCAGTCCTACTGCCCACCCCAGTGCCTGTAGGAGAAAGGCACCGCAGAATGTACTCCACTCCATCAGCAGCTCCGTGAGATGGCTTTATCAACTGGTGCCAGGGTGCTTTCATAGACAAATCCCCAGAGCCCTTGGTGTCAGAAAATCCTTATTTCCTTAACGTACAGCAAAGAATGTTTTATTTGTATCTAATGCAAGGGTTTCTGTAACAAACTGTGAAAAAAAAAAAAAAGATAATGAATTAATAAAAGGTATGGGGCTGGAAAGTCTAGAATTCACAAATTGTACACATACTTACGTTTCTGAATACAAATCTATGCAGTTGTGTTGTATTGTAGGAAATGTCATTTTTATGTACATATATATTGTAAATAAATAGGATGCTGTATATTTTTGCAGTTGTTTATCCCCCATGAATAGAAGTGTTGAGATAGGCTCTGCATATTAAGAATAATTTTAATAGAAATACAAATACTTTAGCTTCGTAGGGAAATGTATATCCTTTTCTTTCTCCCAAGAGTACACAAATTAAATCCTAAACTTGAAATTATAATTACATCCCTAGAGTAAAAAGAGAAATAAAAGGTCCAGTGAAATTGCTAGAATTAATTCCAGTGCATAACTCCCTGTTTGCTCAACAGCAAGTTTGCCAGCCTTCCTGCTGGGTAAAATATCTCCCTTGTTAAAGGGCCCCKTTGGTACCCAGATACCTCGTTTCTCCTCAGCTGAGGTCAGTTGGTAGTAAAGAGTTGGAAAGGCTTTATGCTGAAAATCATGGCAAACTGCAACCAGAAATTTGACCCAGCATTATGCCRTGTTGTATCCAGGCATGTATTTACCCAGCTAGTACAAAGCGAAGTCAGGGCAGAGCTTCTGCATTTCCATTTTTCGCCATCAGGAATGCCTGTAGTTAAAAAAAAAAAAAAAAAAAGTACAACAAGCCAGGGGTGGGCAGCAACCAGAGCAATTGGTGCCATTTCCAGCCCCCTCCTTTCCTGCAGAGTCCTGTGGCTGCTCCTCTGCCACAGACCCTGCTGCTCTCTCATGCGACCAAAACACTGGCACCTGAGGCTGCCAAGAGCTTCCCCTGGCCAGGGACTGCTTGCACATCCCACCCTGTGAACAGGCAGAGGTCGTGCGATTACTGCCTGTCCAGGAGTGAGGGTGATGGGCAGGGAGGGCTGGGTATGTCCTGGGAGTGCATCCATCAGAGGCCTTGTGTAGACTTTCTCACTGGTAAAGCATGGAAACATTTTTTCAGGACTCCTGAATAATGAAGGTTAAGCAATGCATCTAAAAATAATTGTGGGTTTTTTCCAAGTTTACTTTATGGGCTTGGGTGAAAATGAAACTTGAAATAACATTTGCTTTTACCATGAGCACAAATTTGACGGAAAAAAAAAATCCTATATACAATCAGTTCTACAGACCTTTTCAAATTAATACAAGTGTACATTTTGTTTTCAGTGTTATAGCCAAGAAAATATAAACTGTAAAGATATTTTTTCCACTAGACTTGAACTTTACCTTGTTTATAGAAACCTGTTTTTAGTGTCTCAACATATGCTAAGGCTCACACAGATGCAGTATAAACAATGTTGTTTGAATGATGTATGCTTGACACAAGCTCATCTCTAATAGATTGTTAAAGGAGACATTGGTAATATTTTGCTCCTGTTAACATCACCTGTTAACTTTGTGCTGCTCATGTCCAAATAAACAACACGGTTTTTCAGTTTCTGTGTGTAAATAAAATGTATCAAGTTCTATGATCTCTCTGTTACCTCTTAGTTTTTAAACATTAAAATTGTGATCTAAATTAATGCTTGGGCCATACTCATTCTTCCAAAAGGATGACTGTGTATCATTTTAATGAACACAACAGCAAATGTTCCCTGCTCTTTATCCAAGTATTGTCACTGAATTTAGGGTGTGCCGCTCTTGCAGAGCCAACTACATTAGATTTGGTGCAGTTTAGAGAGAAAGCATCAACAGACGGCTATGGAGCATTAAGGTGAAGTTTCTGATAGAGTTTTAGAGGGACCCGAAGCTGGGGCAGATGGTTACCACAGTCTGCGGTTGCTGAGGATGACAGCATTCCTGAAGGCCATTGTACTTGTTTCTGCCTGCTCCTTGAAGACTGAGTGCTTGACAGTTTGTTTCAAGGTCAAGTCAGGCAGTTAACTTGAAAAGGCTGCTGTTAAATTGGGTTTGAGTTCAGATGTCAAACTGGTGCCTGAAGTGACTAAACCCCTGCCAGACTTTTCTCTGCTATGGAAGCAGAAGCCATCAGCAGACGTATGAGGAGGATACCCAAACACAGTAATGCCTTAGGCAGCAGTATCTGCCAAAGAGGCTTTGTCAAAGCTTTAAAGGGTCTGGAAAGCAAACATTTTTGCCTTTGATCTCTGATTTTACTAGTGTTCAGGTTATAGTAAACACCTACAAAAAGGCCTCTTGGCTAGAGTCCAAACAAATGAAGAGCTAACTTGAGTGCATGGGATGAGTACAGCTCTCCAGGCTCCTTTGCAGGAGAAGTGATTGGAACATTTGTGTATCAGAGGATCCTTGGAAGCTGTTGTCCGGTCCMCAAGCCCAGGGGTGTATCTTAAAGCCATAAACCTGGGAGCACAGTGGTACAAGCTTCTGCTCTGACCTGGTCTAATAGTCTCTTCTGTTTGTCATACATTTGCACACACTTCTCTACCTAGGCAAGCTTAATCATCTCATAGCCATATCTTATGACACAGGAACATAATTTATAGARCAGAGGAAAAAAGAAGCTATAGTTCTTTTTTTTCCTTGCTTGCAGAGACTACCACAAATACCTGTTGCCTTATGCAGTGCAGTCTGACAGCTTCACCTGAAGTTCACCTGAAACCATACAGCCAACATTAAAAACACCAGTCTCCTTTCCAGCCACACACTTCTACTTTTGAGTTGAATCCCCAAAATCAGCCAGATCTCTTGAGTACACCTGACGGGTCCCTGTTGGGGAGTGAAAAAACAAAAAACAATTACTATTTCCTAAGGCAAGCATTGTTTTTGTCTGAAGGAGGACATTCCCCTATATGCTTCAATGGGATCATAGTTTGACTTAAATTATGATCAGCATAGTTTGACTTAAATTCATGTGAAGTTGCATTTAATCTTCAGGCTCAAGCCCAAATTCAAGCCAGTATTAAGATGTCTCATTAACCGTTACACTAAGAGCTGGAAGTAAGCACTCATGCCAACTTTAGGAAGTGTGGAGAAAATGGAGATGGTAGGAACTGGCACAACTGATAAGTCCATTTCTAAGACTTTCTAACTACAAACCCATAACAAACTGACTGCAGGCTTTGCTTCCTACAAGGGAGCTTCCCTGTTCTCAACCCCATGCAGGACAACAGCACCCTTTGTATTGCAGTCAGTTGTGTTAAGGATCTCTGAAATACTGACTTCCTAACACAGATCCCAGTATGGTTAGACAGAAGTTTTCAAGCAACTCAGTGTCTGTGTTTTGCAAATATGTGCCAAAGTGCCATGTATTTCTTTGTCAGATTACAGTTATGGAAAATGGAGACTATTAAAGCTGCCAGTGTTACTAAATGTCATGGCACCAGCAAGGGACAGTGTTGCTGGCTTAGTGTGCCTCAACCTTGTTATGGCTCACTGCCTGAAAAATGTGAGGTTATTGGTATTCTTAGAAAATTGTGTTGATCAGCTGAGGCCGAGACAACATGGCTAGGAAAGTAAACTGTTGTCTTGGTTTGAAAGACAGGTGTTTGCCAATGAAGGCAGGGACCCCCCTAAGAGTGGTGGATATGACCTCCCTTCCCTCCGAATTATTATAGCTTTGAAAAATCACAGGCTTTCAGGCAAAAATATGGGTAAAAGGGAATAACAGTTTTTACTAATATGTATAACAAGATGAAACAAATAACAATAACAATAGCAACAACCAGCCCAGTTGCCTCCCTGGCCACTGGGATCAGCCCATCAGAGCTGGATGTGGAGTCTGTCACAGAGATGGGGCGAGCATGGTGCTCAGCAGCCCTGCGGCAGGAGCCAAGTGCATTGAGGATGAATGTTGTTGTACCCTGGGTAATTATAAAGGAACATAGCAGAGTTAGGCGTCAGGGTATTGGAAAGTGTTAATGATAACAAAGAAACTCATGAAGAGGGTGGAGAAACTTTTACAATGTGGGATCAGATTAATGACCTATACAATGGCTGCTGTAAAAACAGAAGCATACAGATGCTACAACATTTGTAGAACACATTTCTTCAAACCATAACCAAAGCCTGTAATTTACTAGGATAAAAAAAAAAAAAAAAGAAAAAAAAAAAAAAAAAAAAGAAAAAAAAAAAAGAAAATTATATGTTCACTGACAAAGCCAGATCTTGCAATCTTTGAAGTCTTCTCGGGCTTGGCGCAGGCAGAAGTTCCCAGTAGTACTTCTTACATAATAGCTAGATTTCCTATTAATTTTCAGATACCATTTGTAGATAATTAGAGAAGTACCAGATGCTGAAGAAACAGCTTCCCTGACATAACAAGGAATTATATATCTCTTGCAATTAGATCATCACAAAATGAAAGGAAAGCAGGCACTAGTCTGCCATTCCTGCATCCAATGGCATTTAAACAATGAGCACAGTTTCTGTTACTATTGCTGGCAGCCCGCCAGCAGCACTTTGAAAAGGCAGCRTAGCCTCCCTGTAAATTGATAAACAATCTTGTAAAGCAACAGGCACAGTTGCTTTGTTAAATTTTTACTTGAGTAGAGAACTAATTGGCATCTTTCTGTGCAGAACAAGCAGGGTCAGATTCTCCATTTCCAGAGGAAGATTATTTTAACCAGAATCCACAGTTCCTGTAGTTAATGCAATGAACCTTAAGACTGAGGGTACCAGGAGATGCAGAAATTGTTTGTTTTCTTAAAGAGTTCTGGCTATGAAACAATTAAACACAGTTGACAAAAAAACCTGAATGAGTCCTAGCTGTGTTGATGGCCTCAAAACACATTCATTATCACTACAAAAGCAGATGTGTCATCCTCACACTGGGATGCTGATGAGCTAGAGTAACGTGATCACTGGCTGTCCAATCTAAGACCAGTCTCACCCAGAGACAGGATGATATTCTCACCTCTGCTCTGGGYCAAAGATTAAAAATGCCTGAAATCTTTTGTATAAGGCTGCCCACCAAGATGCAGAGTGCTCTCTAAGGAGTGGCAAATGTGCTCAGATAT